GGCCCACGAGAGCACCATCACTGGAGGAGCTGGTATCAGCGATTTGACAGGCAGAACGTTTCCTTTTGCCTACTCTCAGTTCTGTTCTTGTTGCATTCTTTTTCAATTAGACAACGTATAAAGGGGAAAAAATACGTCTGGTAAGGCTGAGAAACCCCTGGGGGCAGGTGGAATGGAATGGACCTTGGAGTGACAAGTGAGTAAAATGGAGCTTCACGTGATTTGAAAAAAAAATGCAGCTTTATTTGCCCTTGTGCAGCTTGTGCATGACTCTAACACTTAATGATGAGGTATCTGAATTGTCTTTGCTGTCATTTTGACATACGCTTGAAGTTGATCATAGTTGAGTGCTTAACTGAAGCTATAAAAAGAAAAGAATACCTAAAAAGGATGTCAAGAGGGGCTTTAATCAAAGGAAATGAAAAGAAAGCCCAGTCAATCTGATTTTACTGTCTAGCAAGCTCAGCAACATCCATTTTCAAAACAAGATGTGACAGTAGAAAAATCTTTTAAGTTATGGAAGAACTGGATGAAGCAAGATGTCAGTACATGAGTGAGTTTGGATAAAGCTTCTCGTTAGGTTTTCCTAAAAGGAATTTCAATAGCTACTCCAGCAATGACAGTCTGCAAACAGTTTTGTCTTCAAGCTATACCAAATGAACACAGTTCAGCAGATTTTTGAGAGGTGCTAAGAGGAAGTCTAAAGGGATGGCAGAGAGGAGTAGGGCAATTGCTTCTTTATTTGGGCATGTGGAGAGGAGGGTAGCATTGAGAAGAAAGAGTTGCAAGGCTCACAAAGGAAGAACTATATGGATGTAGTAAGATGACTCTTGACTTTTAATGAAAACTGTATTGCAAATCAGAATCTAACTTGTGTACTCTTTTGAAGGTCAGACGAGTGGAACTCAATTAATGAAGCAGAAAAAATCCGCTTGCAGCACAAGATTGTGGAGGATGGGGAGTTCTGGTAAGAATATCAGTTGAAATATGCAACTATAGCAAAAATGAATCACACTGCACTACTAAAATCTGCTAAAACCATTGGATTAATCCCTGTTCACCTTCAGATTCCCAATAAGCCCTGCTCTGTGGTCCCCTTATTCTCCCATGAGAGTTTATTGAGTGCCACCAGCAGAGTCCTAATTATGTCACACTTTCACAAGTTCTCCATCACCCTTCCTATGTACCATCCTCTCAGCCCAGTGTCCCCCAGTTTGGAGTTGTACCTGTGTTAACTGACCAACCAGCAGGCCAAATGCATTAGGAAATCATGGCACTCTCACTGCAAACTTGCCTCAAGAGTGGTAGTAACATGGGTCACCCTCCTTCACCTCACTAGGCTCTTTCAGACAACCACTCACCATGTAAATGCATTTGGGTTCAGTTTCCCCTCAATTCCTCCAGGATATCATTTGAAGATTTCATGAGGCATTTCACAAAACTTGAGATCTGTAACCTCACACCTGATACTCTGGAAGCCGATAAACTCCAGACCTGGACTGTGTCAGTCAATGAAGGGCGCTGGGTGAGAGGCTGTTCAGCTGGAGGTTGCCGCAATTATCCAGGTGAGCAATGGGTCTTAGAAGAGATAATGCCTCTTTGATGGGGACCATATTAGATCCTAAGTCATAAGGTTATTGTCATTAAGACAACCTAAGTCATAGCACAGCCTCATCAGTGCTCGGCCATAGGAAAAAAACCTTGCTTCCTCAGTGGATGAGGCTTGCGATTTTGTAGCTGGAAACTTTCTGTCATTAGGTTTGTAACAGCATCTCATAAGCCCAAAAGGCAGGCCTGGCAAAAATAAATCGTTGTTCAAATACTTTGCAGTGCCTCAAGTAAGATAAGAGAGATCAATTTGACTCTAACAGTTAGATTTTTACTTTGGAAACTCACTTTCTGATAGCTTTAGGTGCTTTGGAAGTTCGTCAGATGCCAATTCTTCATTTTATATCCTCCTTTGCTATGCAGTTTTGTTAGAACTATGTAAACCTGTAACACATTAAAAAATATGAATGTATTAGCCCAATTTTAACCTTTCCCTTAGAAGCCACAGGCAGGGAACTTAAAAGTTCTCTTCAATCATGTGTATCGTTAGAAAACTGAAGATTTACATGTTTGCTTTGGCTTGTCGGTGGGATTTCAGATACATTTTGGACCAATCCTCAGTATCGCTTGAAGCTCCTGGAGGAAGATGATGATCCTGAGGATGAAGAGGTTGTCTGCAGCTTCCTGGTTGCACTGATGCAGAAAAATAGGAGGAAAGAACGGAAGCTGGGAGCCAACCTGTACACCATTGGCTTTGCCATCTACGAGGTATCAGCTCTAGACTTTGTTCTTAGCACTGTGGTCGCAAATCCTGACGGTATGCTTTTACCGAGAGAGTCACTGGCTCTCAGCCTGACTACGTGAACTGCAATTTTTGCTTTGCAAGGAACTCAAGGGAAATCTGGAAGAGAGGAAGGAAATTCAAGGCTTTATAACCATTCAGCCAATAGTAAGCTCAGGGTTTATCCCATCTATAAGTAATCTATAAGATTTTAACATATTCTTTCCCACATATTCTTCCATCTCCCTTTCATCCTGTATGAAACTAAACATTGCATTAACAGAATAGTGTAAAAAAGGAAACAGACATCCAAGACACATACGTAGCGATTAATCTCTGTCCCTGCTATCGACTTCACAAAGAAGTCAATTTACTCAGTCCCTTGCAAAAACATATTTAGTTCAGATCTTAGTGGATCTCATGCAAATCCCAATAAATCTGGAAAGGAAGAAAGAAATTGCTTAGAAAAATTATATAACTTGTGGCATTTTGTTTTCTGGCTGTGCCTTCAGAAATCTATATGAACGCCCTTCTGTATGATCTGTAAACAAGTGGACTCACGTATCAGCTCTGTTTCCTCTCTTTGTTTCTCCCTCAGGTGCCCAAAGAGGTATGAGCAGAACGGAGGCAGATTGACATCTTGGTGTATGCTCACAGCTAGTGTTACTGTTGTGCCTGTCTGTAAGT